TGGAACCTTCTGCACTAGTCGCCACAAAGTCTGAGCATTCGTCTGGATGCACTCTTCCTCAGTGGAACTATAGATGCAAGCCGTGCTCTGCAGGAGTTCCAACCCGTATGCGTGACCAACTTCGGTGTCCAAAGGGCTGGAAGCATGCACCAGAAGGCAAGTCTCAGCAGAGGCAGCAAGCGCTTGAGACCAAGCAATCGGCTCCACCATCAGGTTCGGGCACAGCTGCGTAGCCTGTTGGTACGGTATGGGCCCTTCCAAGTTGGACATGGTGCGCTTGAACGAGTCTGCCTCGAGGTTCACCAGAGCAGCGCCAACGCAAGTGTATGACCCTGGTATGTGTTCAATGGCATCCATGCGGACGGCGTTGTTTTCTGCTAAGAGGTCTTCCAAGATACTCTGCACTGTGACTGGAGATCGGTGTGTGTCCAAGTTTTGGACTTGCGTCCTGATGCCAGTCGTTGCGTGAAACTCAGACAGCAAAGCCTCTTCATTTGAGACCTGTCCATCTTCGCTTTGGGCAGGCTTTGGCACTGCCAAGACTGCGTCAAACACTGGTGCAACTAAGGCGAAGCCATGTTTGGGCAAGAGCTCGCAGAAGTGCGGCATGGCCTTGTTCTCCTTGTCAAACAGAAGGAATGCCATGGTTGAGGTTTCAAGCCGAGGTCGAACAGCTGCCTTCATAGCTTCCGCGGGGGTGTCTTTGGCATAGAGCATCCTTCAATTTCATGGCGTCTGCAGCCAAGCCATCTAAAAGCGGACAAATGAAAGGATCTCCACTGGCTCTCGATGGGAAAGTGAAGCCAAAGCAGGCTTTCAAAAGAGTCTTCTTGGCGTCTCTGACAAGGAGAACCATGCCATGACCACTTTCCTCCAGTCACCTTTGAAATCTCTGTAGCGCTGAAAGCAAGGCAATGTCAACCCGTAGTCCCGCGCAAACTCGAGGGCAAAGTGGACCGCAGCATTCGGCATGTCGTACTCCTTGGTGCCCGGTGGGCTTCCAGAAGCTCTGGCAGAACGAGAGAGATTGGGAAAACTCGGCCATGGAAAAAAGACTCTGCCCAGGGATTCACCAGCGACCTTTTTTTGGTATCCGGTGGCTGGGAGGACGGTGGTATTATCCGTGTGGTCATCTTGTTGAGCCAGATCAGCAATTTGCCGTGCATGATGTCCTCCCTCGCCACCGGCCGTGTTCCCATACTCCTGCAAACCATTGAGGTCAAGGTGGCAGCGGATTGTCCAAGGGTTGCCTCTTCCAAAAGCAGTCGCTTCTTCAATGTCATCGTATACGGACGCTGCTTCGGAAGCATGTGGCCAGACCCAGTCGTTCCAGGTTCCAGCAATCTCAACACAGCGGTCTGGTCCCAAACACTCTGCAAGGCAACGATCCCATGCGCACACTTCTGCGCTCAAAGCGGTCAAGTTGGCTTCCACTATGCTGCACGCCTTCCACCGGTCGAATGAGGCGAGGAAACCTCGGCAAGATTCCTTCAAATGGTCGACTCGGAGCTTTTTGCCTGCGGCCTGCTTCCAGGAGCCGCTCCAGGATTGGATGCCACCAGCGCTCGGTTCACCTCTGCCTGAGTGAAAATAATATGCAGGGGAGTGCGCATGTGGTCTTCATACTCCTGTTGCGCATGACTTTTAAATCCTGTAAGGGTTGATGTTGACCGTGTCCGCATGACTGTTTTGAAACACTTAGGGCAATGGAATGGTTCTATGGCCAAGTTGCTGCTGAGAAGAACTGGAGCTGGATCGCAGCATGCGTTTCCCGCACGATGCGCTCAGCGGTGGATTGATTGGAGGTGTCCACGGCAGGGAGACCATCCAGCCCCTGGTCAGGAACTGTCTGTTGATCTGGATCTGGGCTGTCAGTTGTTTGAGGTATTGCACGGCATCGCTGCATTTCTGGACACCGTGCTGACGATGCGGGAAGAGGAAATCTTGAAAGAAACACCACACAGCATCTCCAGAGGCCATCCGTTGGGTCTGCTTGGAAAACTTTGTTGGGGATGTCGACTTCGTCCTCGACTGCTGTGAACTTGGAGCGCATGTACGTGCAGCGAAAACGTCTTTGGTGAGAAATCTCTTCCGCGGTGGGCACCTTGGGAATGTCGCCTGTGTTCATTGCCCAAACTTTTCCAGTTTGTGCCCAGTGGCCGTATTTTGTTTCTGCTTCATGATTTCTGCCCAATGGCAGCCAGCCACCTCCCACAAACACTTTGATGATATCCTCCATGATGCCTTGCTCCCTCTTGCATTCATCAAAGGTGATGAAGGCTGCGTGGAGGAAATTGACGCCCTGCACTTGAAACTCTCTGTCTGCTTGCAGCATTGCGCAAGGAGCGCAGCTCAATGCAGTGCCGAACACGGCTTGCAAATGATCCACGAAGACTAAGGTCTTGCCGTCGTGCCCACTTCCGACAACCATGTGTAGGATGTCTGGCTGCCTCGCACGGGCAACGACCAGGGCGCATTGGTTCAGGAGAACCTGGAAGCCGATCAGACCCTGCAAAAGAAGAGAGGAGGATGCTGGCATACCGCTCACGCGTGGCTGGTGGCTGGGAAACCTGCGCTTGTCCTTGTTCCTTATTACTGTCTTGTAGCCCTGCTTGCGGCATGGCCCCTAAGTGTTGAACATACGGCCCCCCCCCGACGAACAGAATCATTTCTTACAGGACGAAATTCAATGCACAGTCCCAACTCCTGATTGTAATAGTTTTTTGCTAAAGCAAGGAGAACTCAGGTAGCTTAAGCTACCTTTCGTGATATATATATATATATTTTTTATATCTATATTTATATGATTTGTGCAAAAATAGGGGTTGCAAAAAATGGTCGCTTTTTGACCCCATAAAATTGAGAATGATATAGGAAAAGAGTCCAAAAACAAGGAGTCAGCTCTATAGAATGGAGGGCCATGAGTCTGTGAAAAGCTGCAAACATTGAGGATTTTGCTCTATAAAATGCAGGTCCTGAGGTACCGTCGAACAGGTGTTTTTCAATAGGAGTGAGAAAATGTTAGGTGTTAAATGTTGGAAGCCTTTAACGACCTCTGAAATATTGCAATAGTGTGAAATAGTGTCAAATAGTGTGGTTTAATGTATAAATACTATTCATTGGAAATAGTGAACATGTCGTTAGTCCACCCTCGTCACCCAAAAAGCGAAGGACACTGAGCGGTCAAAGGAAGCTGCTACTTTTTCAGGCGCGAGTTGTTGTCTTCCTAATCGTCCACCACGTCTGAGCCCAAGAGCTCCGTCAGCGAAGGTTTATCCTCCTTCTTCTCTTCCTTCTTCTCTTCGGCTTTCTCATCGGCATTCTGACGTCCACTCTTGGCCGCTTTTTGGCATCTGTCTTTGTCCACATCCTTTGTCTCCCCCAAGCGCTTGAACTCCAGACGGAGCTTTTTGGCCAGCACTTTGAGCACGACACCTTCTTGGTTGTCGAACTCTGACTTTCTTTTGCCAGGGAGAGCAATGGCAACGTCTCCTTCCTTCCAATCAGTCACAGCCGCAGGCGGGGCTGCCTGATGAGGTTCTTTGATGTTCTTTGTGGCCACCCTTCTCTGCGGCACGACCGGCACCCAAAGCTTCTTCCTTCGCCTTGTCAGCTCTGCTCTTCCAACCATCCATGCACGGCTGCAATTTCGCATGCTCGACTAAAGGAGTACTGTAGTTGCTTGGCAGATAGTTCTTTGATTTGCTCCACAAAGGCATCCCGGATGTTACCAACCTTCGGGTGGCTGATCACTTGCTCCCCGCCCAGTGCATGTTCATTGAGCAAAGTTGCCAAATTTCTCGAAGGTAGCGTTGGATCTGCCAGCATCACCCGTAATATCGCAGAGCGGGAGAGCATACCATACTTGTCTTTTGTTCCCTTTATGTCCCGCTTTTCTTTCAACAATCTGCTCAACTTTTTCTTGTTGTGTTTCAAAGAGCTCTCCAATTGAGCCCTAGTTGTTTTCTTCACCTGTCGGGTTCTGGAATGGGCCGGTTCTTCTCGCACATCAAAATGAGCTTCTAAAGAAGCCACCAAATTCTCTACATTGGAAATTACGCTGGTATGATCTTCTGATGTCAGTGTTGCCTTAAATTGCACCAAGTGGCGATGAAGACTTTTGGCTTCATCGTTGCCCTCCATACATCAGACTCTAAGAAAAAACTTCAACATGCAATGGTGCCATGCAATGCCTCATTTCACACCCCAATGTTCACATGTCCCTGGGTGATATTGTAGAAACCATTGCATTTTGTTGTCAAGATATGTTTTTCCGTCTTCGTGGGATTGCCATATGCACCTATTGCAGTGCACATTGAGCCACGCAATGAATGTCGGCCATCTCAATAATATACCACAAGAATCAAACATCAACACAAAACCTTCTGAAAAGAGAAACCGCATGAGCAAAAAAGGGTTCCAAGAATTTACACCTAAAAAATGGGTCTCTATAAGATCAAGGTACAAGGCTCTGAAGAAAACATAAAAATGCAACGGTCGAGGAAGGCATTGATTTCCCAGTTGGTAGGACCACAAATTTACAGAGAAAAAAGGGCGTCATGGACAGGTAAGGGTCTGTGATTTTATAGTGTCCAAAGGTCGTCCCCAAGTCATCTCTATAGAATTGCAGTCCCTGACATGCAAATCCATGCTAATAATTCTCTATAGAATCAGATGCCTGAGGCACCAAGATCCACTGCACCATCACTTCAACACCTCTATAGAATCGAGCTTGTAAAAAACAGCAATTTTGTATAATAGAGAAACTTCCAGGTTGGTACTTACACGCCTCCATGTCAACCAAGAAAATCTGGCTAAAAAGATCGCTTTCTAGGGGTCCCAACACCCGCGATTTTGTAGAGGAAATTCCAACCCCTATGTGTAAAACAACAAATTCCCATACATCGTAGTCAGCTACAACATGGCAAAAAATGTCATGCCTGCATCCAAAGAAACCAAAACAGGTACCCTCCAAAAGCTGTGCTGCTCAATCTGGACACCGTGCACTAAATCGAGTCGTACCCATGCATTCCTTCTCGGGGCCATCTCGGATTGTTGCTGTGATGCCAGTGCCTTCAGCAAAAAGCTTTTTGACAGCAAATCTTTCGATGTCTGCAGTGTTATATAGCTCTCTCACCTCCTAATGCACACAATCACTTGCGCTTTGTGCTGCTTTGTCCAGAAATGCCAGCATGGCTTAAATTCTACTCGAGAATAGTGCAAGACACTGGATCGAAAGGGTGGGAACGGGGGCCAAGTAGGATACCCTTTCTATTGAGTCTTCAATAATCTCATTCCACCAAATCAATCTTCGCCAGCCGCCAGCCCCTCTTTTCAGGGTAAACCGAACTATTGCATAGGTTGATGTGGCTGGAGCCTCAAAGATCTCTCCATTTGGGTCCAACTCAAGCAAATCCTCCTCAGCAATTCGCATCGAGCTAGGCAGCAAACTTTCATTTAGCCAATGTCATTCTGCTAAATGTGCTTGTTCCGATGGCAATCCAAGCTTGGTGCATAAGAACGGACAAACAGCAGATAGCTTTTTCCTCTCTATGCTGCAAATGTCAAGCAATCGTGGGAGACTAAAGTGCAGGGATCCACATCTCTGGCCCTGTTGTGCCTGCAACTCCATTCTGAAATAGAATAGCCATTATTGCCACCATAGCAAGCCTGCCATTAGCTAGATCCACATTCAGCCTTCGACGTTTGTCCTCTGGATCATCTGAAGTTAATGCTTTCCACGCGTAATCACCAGGCGTTCCGCTGCGGTAGTCCTCAAATCCTCCACTGTATTCGATTAAGCCGAAGTAGATCACAATCTGTGTCCAGCCTGATCATGAATATTCATGAATCATGTTTTGTGTTATCCACAAGACTCTTTCTTGGCTTGAAAGTCAGAACAGTACAAAATAATATGACAAGCACAAGCAAGGGATGCAGGGATGCTGCTATATACACTTGCTCAAGATCTGTTTCTTGTGTCTCTGTTCTGCTTCCCATTGTTCAAACCTGGCCTAGTGATGGAACGACATTCAAGGCGGCCAGGCCATTCGGAACATCTGCGAATTTGAGGCCCATGGAGGGGGAAAGGTATCCTGGCCAATGTCCTATGATCTCTGGCGTCATGAAGCCCATCGTAGCAAGCATAGCAATCCTTCCATGTTTGAATTCCACTGAACGTCGTCGCCGATAAGCAGCGATATCGCCGTCATCTGTGAAACCCATTGGGTCCCAAAAACCCAAAGGTGGCTGGACACCTAATTCATTTTCAAAGGCCAAACGTGTGAAGCGGCGCCGCCTCAAAGCCGGAAAGGCTGCACAGGCTGCGCCACATGCTGAACCAGCCAATCTCCGGGCAAAAGATGAAGGTTCGTCAAACGACAGCGTTGATACTCTGGCAGCAGGTGTTCTTTGACACGAAGTCTGCCATGCAGGAAAACAACCGAGCCGAGGTCTTGGGGCTACAAAGAGCGGCAACATTGGCCAATCTAGGAGGGACTCCATAATCCGACAAAGCTGCGAGTTTTACTGAGCCACAGCATCACCTGTCTTGCTCCTTCTGCAACGTAGTCGCATATTGATCCGTTTAAGGATGTATGAAAGAACAAAACCTGACAGATCTGACCGAGTCGTTCAGTTCAGGATCACTTGGCAAGCTTTAAGTGAGGCGCCAAACTCTGTCGGAAGGTTTCGTAATTCGCCTCCAAGAAGTGAGCAAAGCTAGGCCAAGCCTCGCGCTTCTCTCACTCGTGATTTTGGTGGTGGGACATTCTACACTCAGTGGACTGTCTGCATGCTGAATCAGGCTGCACTGAAGGTTCAATTGCCACATAGACATACACAGCATTGTGCTATGTGCCTCTCGCGGCCAAATTGGCCAATGAGCACTGGTCGGCAGGAAGTCTTGGTTTTGATTCCAGCTCAGAAAACCTTGCACGTAACAGAAGCAGCACCTGAATTTCTATGATCCTATAAACGCTCAGGTGCTACATGTGATATTGTACATTAGCAGCTCATTAGCAAGCCAAGTTGTGCCAAAGCCATCATTTTCCTCGCTTTGACTTCAATTGGCATACTGCTACTGCGTTTCAGTGATGATCAATGCATAAAGGGAGCGTTTGTGATTTGAAAGAAGCATAGAAGCATTTACTGCACAGTATTATCTCCATTCGACGACCCAAAGGCCATTACAAAGCTCTCTGGTGCTGAAGACTTGAATATTGGTTCTGTGGGCTTGAGCTGTCAACCAGCACTGCGGCTTGCAAGAGGTGTTCCAGGCACATCGACCTTGGCTCAGACTCCACAAAAAGTGAGTTGAGACACAGGAAGGACCATACTGCGGAGAACCAATGAGAATCAAATGAGCATAGTTGAGGCAAGACGCCTCAGAACGTGTTTCACCTGAGAAAGCACAGCTGCACAAGTGGCATGGCAAAATGTATTCATATCTAGTGAGCAAGTCCAACCGAGCAAATACTGAGAACTAATGCAAAGGCTCAGCAAAGGTGCGGAAGAAACTCAGCTGTTGCACCCTTTCCCAGTGGTCGCGGGTTCGATTCAGAATCAGAGCAGCCTACAGCGCGAGAATAAAAGGGGCGAGTGCTGTGTGTGTGTGTTTTTAATCACGCATCCATAGGTTAACTTAATCAGTTGCCACATCCACATGCTGTGGTTTTTCAACGGTTTACTTGCGATGATCTGGTTTCACAGGGACCATTTCCTGGGCTACCGATGTGGTCAAAAAGGTCTATCTGCTCTTGGGATTCCTGGCAAAACATACCTAGCAAAGATTGCCATAATGATATGAATGAAGCCCGACAGTTTACTACCAAAAGACCAAAGGCGGCCCCGTGGGTGTAAGTCTGAGCACCTCTTCAATTTGACAGTCACCAATCAGGTGCAAAGCAGCATGGAAAGCTAGTGGAGTCCAACAAACGAGCAAAGGGCCACAGTACAGTGCCAAAATTGTATCGAAGCCATACTAAACTGAAACAGAACCTAGTCTAGTACAAGCAGTGAAATCTCAGCTAACAACTCTAACAACTATATAACAATATAACTATGTCATAATGTTGACGCCTCAGACTAAGCCCGTGTCACAAAGACCGAAACGATTGCAGAGCGTGACAAAAAAGAACGGCTAACAGTCAAATCATCTACCCCCTACCCCGTGCCTCATGCATCCCCAAGCCCCGTGCTACTGGGTTTGCCCTGGGACGTTGTTAAACGAACAGAACAAGGTAAGAAATGGCAAGAATGTGTTCTTATGTTTGCTTGACTATATTATATATAATTGCATATATATATATAATTAAGTAAGGACATTAGATTTATGAGGTGATCAAACAGGCTACCCGAAACTCAAACAGTCTGCTGTCTTTTGACGTCTGCCTCTCGGATGTCATGAAGTCGCAGCAACTTCCTGGCCAGTTCAGTACCTTGGTATTCAACCAGGAACCTACGGAACCTATTGACTTATTGAATCATTCCGAAGAATTGCGCCAAATGAACCGTATTTGCCACGTGACCAACCATTATCACAAAGCGGAAGCGCCAGGGACAGGACCTGTAACGGACCAGTGGCTTGGGCTGCTGAAGAACGCTGACCCACATTTCAGGAGTCCATCATTCATCATTGTCAGACATTGACATGTATCGAAACTTCCCATTCTGAACATATCTGAACATAATGCCCTCGTGGCCTTGCTAAGAACCAGGATATGGGTGTGGATAAGTCTTGGCAACCTGCCAAAACTCACAGCTAAGACATTTACAAGAACTTGAAGACCAAACAAGTCCTTCCGTCTGCAAACACTGCAACCTGTGAACAAAAGGAACCCTGAGCTGCGTAGGTGACTGCATTTGTTTGATGATGCCTGCATAGCGGGTGGCTACTTCAAGCAAGTCCAAAGCAACAGCAGCTGTTTCGCGACCTGGAAGCACTGCCGAAAGTTTGACAGCTTGATCTTTATGCTGCGTCTCCTGGTCTTCTCTCTCTGTATTTCTCGCCATTCTCCCGCATTTAGACTTGTATACGTTGGCTGGCCGACTCACCAAACAACTCCCACAATTTTCTGATCACTGATCCAGTTTTCTTCTTACTCTTCCTGTCCGGCACCATCAAAGTCGTTTGTTGCAGCCAGGTTGCAAGGACCTTGGAGAGCAACTGTTCCCAAGGAGTTTGCACCACCCCACCTTACCTGGTGTGCTCTGCAATGCCCTGCATGCAGCATACGAGACTAGCAAAGCAATATCAATTGGCTCATCACTCTAATTTGCAGCTTTGCCGCCAGAAAAAGCTGATAAGCATCTGCCCAACCTGGATGCAGCAAACAGCAATAGCATCTCACTCAGACATGATTATATTATTCAATGGCAAACTGAAACACGGGTCTTCCGATCATGGCTGAGCAACAGCTAGCGCCATCCCAGGTCGACTGGATTTTGCTACTTCCTGAGCTTCCATCAATGATGTCCGTGGCATTCATTGGATGGGAAACGGACTGGAGGAAACACGTTCAAAGGAACGGAATGGGACATGCTGTATGATGGCAATGAATCACGGAAGTCTGCAAAATGCAAGGAGAATATAGTAGACCCTGGAAGTCCAAGGTCCTACTTTGTAGGGTCCTCGGATTTGTTGAGAAAAGAGGTCCTAAAAAGAACATCGGCGATAATCTTCCATTCGAGGTCCGAGGTCCTAAAAAGAACATCGGCGAGGGGGCTATTTGATGGGCCCTCACTGCTGGTGTTGGCTTGATTGAGGGCATTTGGCATCGTGCAATTCCGGACCTTTATTTCCCACCAAATAAAAAGAACACTCTCATTTATTTGCTGTCTGCTCATAGCTAGTGTGAGCAAACGTGAGCAAGCGTGAGCAAAGGTCCTGAAAAGTACCTCGGAGGTCCTCTAAGGCACAAACAACCTCAACAGGAAAACAACATCCCCCAGCAAAGCGTGAGCAATCGTGAGCAATCGTGAGCATTGGCATGGCATCCTACACACTTTTGTGCGCAATTTCTATATGAATCTGAATGAGTGGACGTTTTTCAAGATTGCTCACGACCAGGGTTGTGATTAAATTGTGGACCAAGGTTTCACAGGATCCTATATCCCCTTTGCTGGGTTTCCTCAAATTCCTCGGCGGTGAAACCCCAGCAACTTCTATGGTTTCTCGGACATCGGCCTTTGAAGGACCTCCTCGGCGGAGGTCCTACTTTTAAGGGTCCATGGACTCTGAGGGAGAATTAGTTACACTGGAGCTTCATGCCAAGAGACTCCAAGATGCAGTAGGTGCGCCAACGAGCTTGCCCGCAGCTGCGAGTTGTCTGCCAATGAGCCTCAGCGTGTATAGTTTGCACGAGCTCAGCACAAGTACTTTCAATGGCAGCCTCCATAAGGGTTGTCCAAGTACAAGGACACCAGCCACGCCTAAATGGAGAGAGACAAAGAGATAGATAGATAGATAGATAGATAGACAGACAAACAGACAGACAGACAGATAGATAGTCGGATGTCCAATTGCTGCTCTCTTCTGCTGCCGCATGTCATGTCAGAACCTGCCTGAAGGATTCCATAGGCCGCAACTTCCTACGCGAGCACGGAAAAAAGAAAAGCAACCCTGCACACTCGATTCGAGTAGCTAGTTATATACCTACTGTAGTTGGTCCTCCTGTTGGCCTTGCGCCACCAGAACACTTAAACCTGAAATGAAGTCATCAGCCGGAGCAATCGAGCATCTGGCTTCTGAACATCGGCACAAAACAATCAGAAGCCTCAGAATCAAAAGCCCGTGCCGCATTTGTCCAAGGTGCACTCAGGTAGATGCCCAACACAATCAGCATGCTCACCTTGCAGCTCGCCTGTCCAAGCCTCCAAGAACAAAGGCAAGGGATCATGTACGTACTCTTATGGCTGTTCTATTCTCAACAGCACAGTTCATCTATGTTCATTTCAGCAAAATGTAAGAAAGATCAGAACATTTTTGTCAGGTTCTGGAGTTCTGCAGCGTCTGTCCACCTCTGATGCTGCTGCTGCTACCTTTATTCTCACCGCACTTAGCAGTGCCCATGCCATGAAACAGTCAGCTACAGTGCGCCATGGGTCCATGAACGATTATGCTGATGGCTGGATTCTCCAGATCTTTCGATTGACGCATTGCTACTGCTATTGCTGCATCTGGAGCGCACAAAGTGTTGCATTTGAATTTGTGTACAGCATATATATATATATAAATGAAGGAGGTGTGTGATCAAAGGCCTTGACAGCCCCACCTTGATGTCCCAGAGTTGACATGGGTCAATTGTATTCAAAGCTGCTAAGCCCAGAGGTCAGAATACAATGTGAACTCTAAAGGTTCGTAGCCGCCTATCTTCCTCCAATTCTGCAAACCATTCAAGCGCACATGTTGCACAACGACGACGACGACAACGACCACCACAACAACAACAACGACAACAACAACAACAACCACGGCGGCGGCGGCGGCGACGACAACCCATGCCAGGTTGCCGATCTTCCTGGACATCCTTGTTGCCCTGGGCAGCTCGTGCTCAAGGGTGTGAGCAACAGTAATGACACCCACAAACACTGCAAAGACATAATCAACATGCACTACCCAATAAGAAGCTATCTTCAAAAGGAATCAAAAGGAAAGAAACATGACAAATGTCAAAAGTTGCGCCTGCCAGGAGGCCGCCCCGGCCATAAGTGCCAACCTGCGTTCTAGGTTTGTTACCAAACTATTCCGCACTCCTTCAATATTGCACAGTATTGCCATTGTTGTCCATCTTTGTTCTGTCTCTTTCAGCTGTAAGCAGTTTTGCTCAGCCTGCCGACTTGCTTTTCCTGCTGCAGTGCACCTTTGGTAGCAGAAGGGCCCCGTCGCTTTTTGGAAGACCTGCATAGCAAAGGAGAGAGGACGCTGTGAACTTGATAATGCCAAAAGGGTTCTTGCAGCTCGAAGAACGTCCGACAATGTGGAATCTGGGTGTCTGGATCAATCGGACTTGCCTGTGGGGTCTACCATCTTCTATGGTTTCTTGAGCCTCGCAATAGGCAAAGCTAAGAAGAATATGGTGAACCCGCATCATTGCACAACCGGCGAGAACAGCAAAGCTGTGGTAGGTTATCCAGCTGCAAAGCAAATGTCCGATTGGACCTGGCCATACTCGAAAAGCAGCTGTCGCAGCTGCCTCAGGACAAAGCCATCCAATACCAGATTTCTACTGAAGCCAATGGGCACAGGTCTGTGGGTCACAATCTAGAAACGGTCATCTAAGTCTATGGCATTTCCATCAAGGTGCGATGGCTCTGCCCCTCCTCGCTTTGCAATGCCTTGGCAGCATCACTCTTAATGAAATGTGGAGGGCATCTTCATGGTATGTGAAGCAAGAGGCTGCATTCGTGTTGGTTTGCTTATTACAAGTGTCTGCAACTTGAAGAAAACATCGTATCCGGCTGATGGCAACCCAATCCCTGAAGACTAGGCTCCAGTCGCGCTCATCCCCATCCATCTCAACTATGCGGCTCCTGGCAAGTTGAGCAAGATGCTCCACAGTATATTAAATATGAACGCAATTTGTTCTCAGAAATACTTGCAAAAATCTTGCAAAAATGTGACAACCTTTACATACCTTTACACAGAACCAAACACCTCTCTTTAAAGTCCCTCCGCTTGAGAAGACTTTGTGTTACATACATACATACATACATGCATACATACATACATACATACATGGACCACATGCACTACTAAAGCTGAAGTTCGACATCGAAGCTGCTACCAGGGAGTATCGACAGATGCCATACTTCCCACCACTGCCAAAGGTGCCCGACATTGACTTCAGACCTTGGACCACCTATCAATCACAGGCACATGTGGTTGAGCTCTACGGCAATCCGCCAAACAAACCAGCACAAGCTTGGGCTGACTGGCTGTCCAAAACCGAGCAGTACCTCCTCCAGGAGAATCCGTGGGCAGCTCAAGGGGGGCTGCATTTAGTCCCTCAAGCCAAAGCTCACACCTGGCGTAAAGGGCGGCCAGCCTACTGGGAACAACTTCGAGCGGTCCTACATCTTGCACTCCAACAACCGGTGACCACCTGCACTGGCCCTGTCCAAAGTTTCACGCAGAGGACTCGCCATGCACACAGGCACTGGGTAGAGGCTCCAAGATGGGGGCAGTTTCTCGATACATGTCATCATTGGCATCGATACCGAGATCCTCATGCTGCTGAACTGCTGCTCCAGACGATTGGGCACCAGCTGCGAGAGGCCCAACAGGAGGCCAATGAGGAAACCTCTTTGCAGTATCGACAGTGGCTTCAAGAAGGCTATCAAAAAGGCCTGAAAGGACTCTTCAGAAGTCTGAAGAGCAGTGAACTGGCATGGGAGCGACCATATCGTATGTCACCAATTCAATGCCCCAGCGCATGGGTCAAAGACTGGCTGATTGGGGAGGCTTGTGGAAGATCAGACAGGACAACACACCAAGTCCGAGGCCCAGTCTTCAACAAGCAGCGCAACAGCAAGCAGCCACCATTGAACCTTTGACCCAAGGGATGCTACAGCGGGTTCTTAAAGCACTCCCGGACCGAGCCAGTGGACCTGATGCGGTGTCAACACAAATGCTCAAAAGCATCCCACCGCTGGCATTGACTCCTCTGTTACAGCTTTTCCAAACCATGGAGAGCACAGCAGAGCTTCCAACGCAACTGCAAATGCATCTGGTCGTCATGCTGCCAAAGAATCAGAGGCTGGAGAGACCCATCACGCTCACCTCCACCCTATGGAGGGTTTGGCGCCGTCTCAGGAAGCCACTCCTGGACCGATGGCAACATCAACTCCCGCAGAGCATGAACCACGACAAAGCTCGACCAGGTGCCAATGTACTACATGTAGCACTAGAGCGACTACTACGCCAGGAAGTCACCAAGGCAAGAAAGCATCATGGCATCACTGTGTTGATGGACATGTCCACCTTCTACGACACCATCCATCTTGCCAGATTGCAGGAGGAAGCGCTCAAGCTAGCGTACCCGCCACTCCTTCTGGAACTGGCTATGCAAGTGTACTGTGGTCCCAAGGCCATCCTGGCTGAGCAGGAAATGACGCCTTTCTTCCATGTCGACCATGGAGTACCGGCTGGATGTCCACAGGCCCCTCTCCTGGCCAAGGCAGTCGCTGATTCCTTGGAAAGAACAACATCCAAAGGCCAATTTGTCCAGCTGGGTTGATGACGTCGGCTTTGACCTCACTGGACAGCAAGCAGTTGAGGCCTATCGAGATCTTCATCATCGACTCACCAGCTTGGGCCTGCAAGTCAATCCCAAGAAAACGGCCTTTATAGCCACAGATCGAGACACTGAGCATGCACTCAAAGGCCTACTCCAGGACCATGAGCCACCAATTTCCACTGTGATGAGAGATTTGGGAGTTGATCATCAAGCGGCCCGTCGGAGGAGGATCCCAGTTCTACGACAACGGTTTCAAAAAGCCAAGCAAAGGAAGCTCAAACTGAGGACCTTGAAGATACCGGCCTTGAAGATCAGGCTCCGCCTACACAAAGGGGGCATCCAACCAGTGGCACTCTGGGGCATTGAAGCGCAGGGACTTGCACCACGCTACAGAATGGCCCTCAGACAAGCCCTAGCCACACATTTGCGGCATCATGCAGGTGGGCTTCTTGACAGCACCTATGACCTATGATCTGCATAGCAACAAGTACATTGACCCAGGTGACCAAGTCATTTTGCACCACATCAAGGCCCTGCACACCCTCTTTCACACCTGGCCAACAGACCAGATCCAGCACCTTGAGCAAGCATGGACAAAGATCTCCCACCAACTCAGCCAGCGACAACATCCATGGTACGTGGTGAAAGGTCCAATGGCAGCAGCCATTGCTTACATGAAGGAATGGCAATGGCAAGTCCATGACATCCATAGATGGCATCGACCTAGCGGACCCTACATGGTTGAGGCCGAGCTCACTTTGCAAGATCCTTGGTGGAAAGTCGAACGCACCTTGCTCATTGAAGCCAAGGCACAACGAACAGCACGACTTGCCAGCAAAGAGCACCACCAACATCTTGTTGCCGGGCTCGACTGGCACACTTACAGACAGGTGATCCGCACCATTCCAGGCGAGCATAAACCACATTTGCGGACCTGGACACAGGCAGCCATCCACTTCAAGGAGGGTGGCAAACCCAAACTGTGCCCCATATGCAAAGTCCCTGCGACCACAAAGCGCATTTTGTGGTTGCGCAAATGGCACCAGCGCCAACAACACAAGCCCATGCCACCAGAGTGGGCTGAGCGTATCCTTTGTGAAGATGAAACCCCTCTCTGGACAGCTGGCTGGATCCCGCTTGAGCCTCAAGAGAACAAACAAGTGCCGCAACCATACCAGGGACATGGAGCGTGGCAAGATCTTCAACCTCTTGCACCACATCAGCATCAAGGGTGGGCTTTCACTTTAGATGCCACACCCTCGAGCTATGATCAGCGAGATCAGCTCTGGATCTTTGGGCTCTGCGTGCACCATTTGACCCTTGGGCAATTGCAAAGACTTGGGGCCATCACAGGAGCACCACATCCTCCTCACACCAAAGCCCGAGCGCTCATGGAAGGCCTGGTTGCCTTGGCCAAGCACACCACTACTGCAGCGCGAGTCATAGTACAGCTGGTCAGTGTGCGGGAGGCATGGACACAGCCCAAGCATCGCGGTCCTTTCCATGACCAGCTGGAGCACCTCACAGACCAGGACTTCCAACGGGTCACGGTTCTCTATGTCTCCCGAAACACCAGGTCACCCGAAGCGCCAGGCAGTGAGCCACAGCTCCGCAGACGGCAGAGAGATGCAGCCCTGGCTGCTTGGGAGAGGGCCAAACAATACCAGGACCACAAGAGCACGGAATGGCAGAGAGTTTTAGATGAAGACCACAAGCTCATCTATACCCACGCCATCAACCGCCTGGCCAAGATATACAGTGATAAAGAGCACTACATTCACCAAAAGCCACCCAGGCACCACGGCAAGCAAACGAAGCAATACAAGAAGCAGCTCATTG